TCAGATTAAGAGTCACAAAGAACAAGAGTTAGGATAAGGGTCTCGAGGGTCAGAATAAGGGTCACGAGGGTTAGATTAAGGGTCGCAAGGGTCAGAATATTATGGAATAGGATCGTATAACCGCAAATGTCCACCTCACCCTGACTCACCCCTAGTCGATTTTCATAATAAAAACCGTATCAAGTCACTGTGAGATGTGTGTCCAGACGGCCGTGCCTAGATTTTCGCTCGAGTGGTCATAGCGCAAGGTTGGAAACACCCGATGAGACGCATTCATCCGTGCACGAAGACAGTCACCTCGTAAAATGTACCTCGGGACATCCTGAAAGTCCACGAAAATTGCTCATATCGGGTAAGAACTAATTGTGCAAAGAGATTGAAATGATATAAATTGCGTAGTCCGTCGCGTACGGTAAAAATCACGTGGAAAAATCTTTGGAGTTTGCTAAAAATTCTGTTTAATTTTTATTGAACATTCAACCAGTTTTTGGCTAATTTTATTGAAAAATCGGCTAGAATTTCGCTACAGAAATGCTGCTGATTTTTCTATAAAATATTTTTTTTAAAGATTTCACATTTAGATGTTCTTATAAGAAGAAAACGTGGTGAAGCTGTGGAATTCTTCAATAGAACCGGCCGAAAATTAATAAAGCGCCGTCACACGTTATTCTACAATTGAATGGACAAAAAAAATGAAATTTTCACTAGAACTGCAGTTGAAATTCAATATAATCTTCTGCCAAATCCACTAGGATTGCCTACACGGAGAGAAATGTTCAGTAAAAATTACGGAACTCAATTCACTCATCGATTACGGAATCGCCTCAGAAAATTGAAGTGATGGTATTGTAATTTTTCACAGGAGATTCAGATGAAAAATTCCGTGACAGTTCCATAAAATTTCCTACAACCACATTTCGCTCCGGAATTACAGAAAAGATTCGAATTTTCATTGAATATTTCTCTCCGTGTACAACATTTCACTGCTCGTGATCTTTTCCTCCGGAAAAAACTTCCAGTTTCCCTAAAGTTCCAGGAATTGAGAGATCATTGATCTATCGACAACATTTAATTGACCGATTCTGATGAAAACTCATCCATCCATACAAATGAAAGCAACCCGCCACCCCCTCTCGCATGAAAAGAGCTTTATTCTCGAAATAAAATAGCGAAAAACCGTGTAGGTATCGGTTAACTGTCAAGCAACACGCAGAGCGGGATAAGCTGACGGTATACAACTGCAAACGGTGAATAGACAAGGACTTGCCTGTATTTTGTTAAATACCTTGGAGCTAGCACTCTCGTTTTTGTTTGACGCGCAAGACTGGGTCAAATGTCAGTGTCCTAACGTGGAGAGTACACTTCAATGCATTAGTCTGGTGTTCCTGTTGTTTGGAAAAGGTAAAAACGAGGGCCTATGAAACTATTGAGGTGTTCTAGAAACACAGCAATATCTTTAAAATGTGAATGCAGAGATGTCGATATTTTTATTCTGGTGGATTTGAGATATCAGTACAGGTATGGACTGTTGGGAGAGCGACACTGAATTTAATTAAAGTGGGAGAAGACAGGAAAGTTCCGATTTATCGGACAATTCAATAGAATTTAATGTTTTTTAGAAACTAGCGGCCGGGATATTGATGCCCTGTCATTATGCCCCTTCTCCTGTCAGATTCGATATTCCTTTTTTCATTTTAGTTCTGTACCTAATTACATTCAATTGCTGAGGTAATTTAGGATCTCTCTAGACTTCTGGAAATTCCCAGATGTCCGTTATGACGTTTTTCACAATATTCTCTGCTTCTATACACCGTAGAGCAAAATGGGGATTAATCCGTGATCTTTACTTATTTTTTTCTTCTCGTATACCCTTTTGGGTCTTTACGATTTGTTCCCTTCCCACCCCCCTCAACCCCCTGTACCGCATTTGCCGAAGGGAGGGAAAACCTCATTCGAGGGAAAAACCTGCCCTGGTACAGTCGTCCTTTTTTGACGGGACTACCGCTCAAAAATTGAAACTGTGAGATTAGAGCGCTATAAATTTTGACCGCCGGTGCCGGGAAGCGAACCCGGATCATTGGCACACGAGTCTAGCATTCTAACCGCACGGCCACTACTGTCGGTGTGATCTTTACTTATTAAATTATTTAAAAAAATCATCATTTCACATCGAAAAAATGAAATAATGACAATGACATTGAATTTTTCTGGGGGACACTCATATTTTTATTTGATTATTCTCTCCGGAACAAACACATCGTGTTTAACTCACATAAACTCGAGTTCGTAGAAGGGGAGATGTGAAAAAGCTTGATTGAAGTGTTACGTGCGTTCGCATTGAAGAGAGTATATGCAAGTTCAATTCAATTCAGCGAATGCAATCTTTCAATCATAATAAATTGTGCTAACGAAATGTGATTTCTACGTTATCGACTGCAGTACTCACCTCCGACGCGGTGATACCACCCATCGATTCATATCATCGACGATTTGGAAGTTCCATCTCAAACACAATATTATGAGGGTCACGAGGTTCGAGCGTTATGAAAAATCAAGTTTTTTATCGATTTTTAGATCATTTGAACCGAAAATCAATTGAATATTTGATTTTTCAATGACAAGATTTCCCGAAATTTCAGTGGAACTTGAGCACGATAAAAATTTTCGGAATTTGGCGTGGAACATTCAGACGAAAATTTTTAACACTGTCCACACACTCATTTTCTCATTATCTGGAAATAGTTTGGATCGAAACGACCACTGGAGTGTTATCAATTTCTCAGAATTTATCACTTATCCCTGACTCATGGAAACCTGATTTTTTCTTCACTAGTTCAACACGTTTTACTGATAAGCAAAATCCACGGAGACGCAAAAGTTACGCACAGAGCGTGACTTTTCCACTCTAAAAAAGTCCGAAAATAGAAAATGTTGCTTTATCTCGTGGCACAAGCCAAACTATTCTCAACTAATGTCACATCTTTGAGATTGTTCCCTCCACTTCGTCGGCAGGATCCCGGAACATTAGCAATCACAAAGAGCAAAATAGATTGGAAAATGTGCTGAAAAAGAATTTTTGTAATTCAGATAAAGCCCCGTATCAATGAGTACGAGTACCTGGAACTCTTATCAGTATATTCACAGAGACACGGCCTCTCGCATACAATCAAAACTTGCGGGGACTGAAAGTCTCACCGTTCGGCTCGTGCATTCACACTCTGTTACCTATAGTATTCGTCCGTGCTACTCTCGTTTCACTCGGTACAATTTTCCCACAACTCTTTGCCTTCTCTGTCTTGCATTCACGGGAGATTCGTTCACAGTTCGCACAGAGACTTTGACCACAACGAGTGTCTCCTCCGGTAGTTCATTAATCAATAAAAATTTTGATTCATCTGTTTTTCTAGTTTCGTTAAAAACTCACGATTAATTAATAGCGTAACTAATCATTCTCCTCTCGTGTAAATTTACCATTATCATTTTTCATTTGCGAGGACGAAGGTATCGGGTAATGAATGAAGTGTTGGTCCAAAAGAGATTGTGAGTGAAGTGTCAATGGAATTCAGAATTTTGCGGGATTTATCCGCATTCGATAAAGTGCATTTTTCAGGGATCACGACGGACTGACAATATTCCGCTAGGGTAAGTCGGGGTGGGATGAGCACCCTCCGAGGGTCGAAGTGCAACCTATCGCGTGATATCTGAATCCGTTATGCCCCCTGTGAAGTTGCCAACCGGTCGTGATCATTTTTGGTTGCTCGAATTTTTTTTTTTCATTTCAAAATAGCCAAGTACTTTGGCTACTTATTTTCCAGTGATGTTTTTCTTCTACTTTTGTAGTTGCACATCAGAGCTTTCATTTGAGGCCCATTTGACTCTAAGTTTCCGGACATTTTACATGATTTCATTATTTAAACTTTGCAGGTCTGAATTTTAATCTCGATATTGAACGATTAGAATACATTTTTTAAATCTGACAAAAATTAGAAAGTCAACTTTTGGAGGAAGATTGATGAAATGATTAAAAAATTGCCATTTTTTGAAATTACAGGCATTTTCTGTAAATGATTTATAAACAATCAATTTTCCATCATAAAAATTATTTAAAAAATAACTTTTCCGAAAGTTCAAACAATTTCAATTATTTATTTATAAACAACGAATATTTAAAAAATAATAACACTGTGATCACACAGGTCCAGCATTATTTCCTACGTAAATGCTTTGAATATCATTGAAAAAAATTTTAGTATACAATTTTTCCACTCATAAAGTCCACAAATCTTGTGAATTACAGAACTGAATGGATTTTTTTCATTTAGTTCCATATATTGAGAACTTACTATATTGTCAACCAATTTAAATTCAATTCAATGGAAGCTTTCGTGAACAATTGCAAGAATGGACTTTCTTCTTCTTTTGTGAGTCGTCAAGCCTAACTGCGAACAAGCCCACTAACTCCTCTAATCAAATTAATTTGCAAGCGTTAACAAAATGTCACCCTGATCAACCATCGACCTCAGCTCTAACGTGCATTACAATATATTCATGTCCCTCTCATGGCTCCACTTTATTCCTGGATGAAATATTGCTTGCGCAATGAGTACATTCAATTCGCTCAGCGTAATACCGCAGGGTGAGACGAAAGCCAATACTCGTGCGGTTCAGTGACGCGAACGAATGCTACATTTCTGCAGACAAGTCATACGTTGAGATAAGGTAGTCTTGAAGTTGATAAAAAGAACCGGAATACTTTTCTTTCTTTTCTCCACTTCGAAAGCAGATAGGAAAGAAAACTCCTTGTTTTAATCTTTTTGAATTGGAACGGACGAAAAAACAACCAACATTGATGTGGATATTCCAAACTAGGAATCCGCTTTTAACATTTGACAGAAGTCGATATTTACATCAATCGTCATCCCCCTACAATTTCAGAAAATCATATTTCACCAAATTTCATCGTTTGTTACAGGCTTCGCAGAAGGATAATCGGTTGAGAGATGGAGGAGCCACCGACTGATGCTCCTGAAGAAGTAGAAAGCATCCACGATGACAACAGATCTGCCGTCACAAATGATAAAGATCATAAGCAAGTAGCGGACGATTTCTGCCCGAAGAAATCCAGCTGTCGACAGCTGGTCACAAGGAGCCAGAGCAAAAGAGAAGTAGCCAAAATTTCAGATAGAATTCCAACAAGGACTCGTGCAGAAAAATCGGCATTGGATCATTCTGGTCGATGCAAGAAGGGTCTCCGAAACGCACCAGCTAGGCAATTTCAAAATTTGCGGAGCTTTGGAACCTCAACTCAACTGAAAGATTCGAACTTCTCTAAAGTATGCAAAGTAACGCCTACCATTCCTGCAAAACCAAGTAAGACTGAACAAGAATTGGCGGAAGATTCTGAAGAAATCGAAGATGTTCCCGGTGAGGATGATATTGTGGAGATTAAGGAAACGCTTGGAAGTCACTTGGAAAAATTGACATCTACAGCTTTGACAACTCACGCACATCCCAGAATATCACAGTCTGATATCGGGAGACTCCGAGAGAATCTAGTGAAGATCGACTTGGCTACCACTGAAGCATACGAGCAGAAACTACCGATCTTCCATTTTCAAGTATTGAAAGTACCACCGACAGCCAAAAATGGTCTTGACAAGGAATTAAGGAGGAAGGAGAGACAACGCATAGCATCGGCTATTGACAGCACATCTGAAGTGGCATCTCCCCCGCCTGCGAAATCGGAGAAGCCCAGGTGGAGTAAAGAAGTGTTAGAAGTCGAGAAGAGGTGGTCTGGAGAGTTCTTGGACAATCAGCTGGATCAGAATTCATCAGAGTCATCGAAATCCTCGTACGTGGAAGAGGCTGGGAGTGTATCATCTCACGAAAGTTGTTTGGGAAATAATCAACAAGAACCGATCACACAGTCTGATCCTGACGAATCCCGAGATGATCAGAGAGATTTAGAGAATACTCTCACAACGATAGACTCCAGCTCCTGCTTGGAAGACAGAATCAAAGCTGTTGATGATGATATCAGGGGCGAACTTGAAGAGGAGAATGAGAGGACAATCGAGAGCAGTAGCTTGAAAGGGTCTTCACTGACAACTAGTCCAGAAGGAGAAGTCAGCATTGATTCAAGCTTCGATCACCTCCAAGATGACCTAAAAGAGACTGCAAACAACGACCTAGTAGACAAAAGTCGCGACTTCCTACAGCAGAAAGGAGAAAGAACGCCAACAATTGACGGTTACGCAGAGTTGATACAAGAAATAATCATGGAACCCTGTTCTTCCAGCAATAAAGAAGAAAAGAAGAAGAAGAGCGGCCTTCGTCGGCTCCTGCCAGGCCTCTTCTCCCCGAAAGACTCTCGAAAGGATCACAGGAAGGACCACAAAGAACGAAAAAAACGCGACGAAAGACACTTCAGTCAGCACCAGCAGAACGGAATCTACACGAGATGCCCGGATACCATGAACTTGAATGACGACATAAAACATAACGTCAATTTGGACACCAGTTTGAATGGTTCAATAATCGAGGAGAGGCTGAATGAAATCAAGCAAGAATTGTTCCCCAATCAGGGAATTACGACAAGCACACCAGATCATTTCCTCCAGGAGAGAAGTTTGCATCAAGATCACAGAACGCCTAGATTATACGCTGCAAACTCATCCATCAGCTCGATTGGCCCTGAAGACGGATGGATAGACCAGAACATCATAAGTGGATCTCCAGACATGAGAAAATTGAAGCAGAAAATCAGAAGCGACGACCGTAAATGTAACCTGGAGCGTAAACACAGTCTTCAGGAGTCTCAGCCCGGATTCTTCAGGAATCATGGACCATCTGGTAGGATTTCTGCTCCACCCTCTGAGCGCTATCTCATCCGCCCGCGTGCGGTGCATCCCATCGACCGCCCTCTTCCAGCGATCCCGCAAAAACTTGAGTTCTCGAATTATCAGAATCACGAGGAGATCCTTAAACACGGAGCGTATAGACAACAAGCCGTCATGAATTATCATGGTGAGGGATATTACTCTGGTAACCAGAATTACGCGAATCAAACAGAGCTGTATGAGAATGGAAATCACATCGAAAGCATCGAAATAAACAGGAATCAAAGCATCGATTCCGGATTCAATTTGACACCGGTGTCAACCCAGGCGAAGCTCAATCGTCAATTCGTGATATCCCAGAACAGCGAGAAGATTGGGGTCAATGTTGTGAGATCGTCTAAGTACTCACCAAACTCGAGTCAAAAATCCGGGGACTACGCAGATTCAAGTTACACGCCGAATTCAAGTCAGAAGAGTGAATTCTCTCCGGGCAGCTCCAAAAGTGGTGAATATTACCTGAACTCCCCTAGGAGCAGTTGTAGAATGTCCCCAGATACGAGTTTCAGTCGGGACCAGTCTAGTCATGAAAAGACGCTCATGCCGGATGATGGTTCATCCACTATGGGAGTTCCGACGACTGATCATCTGTATGACGAAGCTCCTAGATCTTTATCGGTGAGTCCTCGTCAGGCCCAGTTGAATGCAACTCAGGAAGTCACATGCATGCGAGCATCGCCGAACATTCCATTATCCACAAACCTTGCTAAGCTTCGAGCAAACGTTGAGGAAGCCTCAGACTCCGAGCACAAGGAGCAAACCTCCCGTCTTCCCTCACCCGTCCCCAGCTCCTGCTCCGTAGCCCTTTCACCAATGCAATCACCTGGTCAAAGGGACAAGTCTCTGCAGATTTCATCTTCTGTTGCGTCAGGGGATCGCAGGGTTACATCACCTCTCACCATCTCAACGTTGGATAACCAGAGATTAGAGCCAATGGATAATCAGAGCAGATCGTGTACCCCATTAACATCGGGAATGGTGCAATCGCCAAGGGCTCCCATCCAGACAAAGAGCCCCGAGAGGAAACGGATCACGTCACCGAGCATCTCACAAATGAAGGCTTCCACTCCTGTGTTGATAATGCAATCCAGGAAGGCTCACCCGAGCGACCAAATCTTGATAGCTTCACCAAAGACAGAACCCATCTACGATCAGCGATCGCCAAACAGAATGGACCCTAGATTCAGAGGATCGCCGGTAATTATGGCTGATTCCCCCAAAAGAGTTCTGTCACCTAGGCAAAAGTCCCCGCAGGTTGCGGAAACCATCGATGGAAGTTCGTTGGCAAATACGCGAGAAATGTCTCACCAACCACCCCCTCAGGCCTTCCGAGATGAGCCACAACGGTCTCTATCTCCTGCAATCCGACTGGCAAGTCCGGAAAAAGGGGTCAGAAAGCCTGAGCCAATCTATGCTGGGAGACCAACTTTTCAGAGAACAACTTGTCCTACATCTGGAAAACCTAAAAGTCACGATGGACCACTGGACACATTGCTGATTCGAACTGCCCCCGCAAATTTCTCTTATGAACCCTCGAAGATTCCCATGAAAGAAGGGCCTGATCAGAAGGGTCGCATGTCTATACCCAGCTCACCAGAGAAATCCGACATACAACAGGCAGTTCCACCAGTTCAGAGAAGCCCAAATGGCCCTCCCAGGAATTTCGAATCGCTGCATCTTAGGAAGAAAAGCCACAGTCCTTCTCATGAACGTCCTTACGCGGTATATGATGATAATACTTCCTCTACTGAAATGATTTCCGGAAGAAAGAGTCAATCTCCATCAGTCCTTACGGTTCGAGTGAGATCTCCAGGGCCTCAGCATATTGAACAGAAGTCGATGCAGCCAGTTTACGCCAGCAGGCAGGAGATCCAGAATCAAGAGCCGATTTATGGTAAACGAGACGTGAACAGAGAGAAGATTTATGCACAGAGGAACGAGAAGCAGCAGGTCATCTACGGCCAGAAAATGTCGGAGCCGATATACGACCAGCAATCTAATAAACAGTTATCCCCATCGAAGTACCAAACCTTGCAGCATCTGGAGGCATTCTACTGGCAGCAGAAGGCTCTCGAGAGCCAGCGGACCTCCTCCAATTCCCCGACAATCTCGAAGCAAGATCACAAATCCGACAAACCAGAAGTTCGAGAAGCGATCTATTGGCAGCAGCTGAAGAAGCTTAATGACGAACAGCAGCAGAAAATTTTTGAGAGGAGTCAGTTCGAGGAGTGCAAAGGGATCGCTAAGGATAAACCTCAAGTGTCTCCTTCGAGGATTCAAAGGATAGATCAACGCCAGGAGCATCTGGAGCAGGTGTATTGGCAGACGAAAGTACAGCGCAAGCAGCAGTTGACGTCTAAACCCCCTATAGCTGGACAGAAAGTGCAGAACCAACCGGTTCTGGTGGTGAGGCCTCAGCAGGCACTTCGTGAGCCAAATGAACTTGTCAGTCAAAGATCCAAGAGTGTCTCCCCTCACTTCGTTCGAGGTGACGAACGACGAAGCTTACAGCTGCCTAAAAAAACTGCGGAAAGAGTTGATGATGGGGGATTTGCAGAGTACCGAGTAGATCCTTCATCTCGAAAACTGGCAACACCACCGATTTATGATGACACTGATGATCGAAAGAATCCCCCACCGATCTTCAAACGTGGCAGTTTGATAAGTAACTCCAACAGTTCCGTTGATTACGGTACAATGGGAACGAAACGAGTGAGTTTTTCGAATCAGTCAGATTCACCGGAGATCGGCTCGGGTAATTGGCCAACGAAGCATGGAATGGCTCCTGAACCACCGACCAGGAGACATAGAGCTGAGGACAGAACGTCTGACACCACCGATCTGGCTTTTGCGAGGGTTCAGGAGGAGAACCAGAACAATGTTAATAAAAGTGCGAATGATATTTATGGGAGTGTATCGGGACAGACGGAAGGGATTCAAGAGACTGAGTTTGATGCTAAGCCATTACCGCCGACGCCTGTTGTTAATGTCGTGATGAACAGGAGCAACAGTATGAGGGACAGGAGACAGCAGAGGATGGAAGCTCAACGAGCTCACGTTTTGGAGAACCCGAGGAGATGGGTGAGGGCTAGCGAGAGTGAGAGCGGAAGCGAGACTGGTGAAGTTCAGAGGATTCTCCAGCGCCGTAATGGTGAGTCGTTTCTTTTATTAATACATGTGGTGATTAATATGTCCGTTCAGGCTTATTCTATAAATAATTTATAAACAATCAATTTTCCGCCATAAAAATCATTTGTTCGGAATCGTCACAAATTTATTCATGTTCAGAATTTTACCAGAAATCCATTTCATGTCTAAAAACGGTTTCCGAAAGCTTAAACAATTTTAATTATTTATTTATAAACAACAAATGTTTAAGAAAATAATAATTCTGGGCAAAATGTAATTTGAATGACACTGAATTCAAATGTAATTTGCATTTGTAATTTGATTGACAAATTTCATGATTGAATATGGCTGAGTCTGTAGTGCGGTCTGTACCAAACTGTAAAAGGTACTTGAATATCCTAAGATATACTATTTTCGTGTTTTCTTTACGAATTTTCCTCTCACATTCACCTTCGGTGAGTGGCCTTGCATTACGGAAACTGCACGGCATGCTTGCACGTGACGTCGGGTGCAGATAACTCACACCCACGTACTTCCCGACTGAGTAGTTGTTGACCATATATAAAGGGGCATTGTCTCGATAATTGTTTCTTCGGGTTTCTTTCCTTTCAATTATACCTTATTGTGACTCGACATTCATTATCGGGGGAATTTCTCCAGCCCTTTTTCTTATTACGAAATGAAAAATCAGGAAATTATTTTTTGTGAGAGACACATTTTACGAGAGCCAACGCGACAGGAGATATCAGTGAAACCTAGAATGCGACTTCTCTCTTATCTCGCGATTCTTGGAATATCCTCAGAGTTCTAATCATTGCTCTGCTGGCACTCCGAGAGATGGAGCCGAGAGTGAAGGAAATTTCTTGGTAGCACTAGGTTAAAAATAAAGTTGCACTCAAGTCTTGTTCTATCCAGTAAATAACTATTTTATGAGTGCAGTCTTATTCTTCAATGATAAATGCAAGTGGTGGATGCATTTGGAGCTTTGCTGAATAATTCTATTATCACTGGAATGAAAATAGAATGCCGGAAAATGAAGATTGAGATTTCCTGAAATTTCAGTGGAAATGTCACTCATCAAAGATTATTCACCCAAAATATTTTTTATGAGAATTTCATCGTGGCTTTCAATTTTTTAAATTTCTTTTCTCCCATTTTATAATGAATAACAAAAAAATAGCAGAAAAAACGTAAAAATATCGAATTTGAGAATTTTCTCAGAAAGAATCAAAAGAGAATAATTAATGCAAAAAAATCAAAATCTGGACTTTATTCCACGAAAAAAAATGTATATATTTTTCAAAAAATTGCCCATTCGAACGCACATATCCAATATTATTAATAATAATAATAAAAACAACAATAATAATAAATAATAATAATAATTATACTGCTATAATATTATAGAAATATAATATCATTGCACTGGCAAAAAAAAGAATTTCATTGACATGGAAATTAATTGAATTTAAATTTCCTATTCAATTATTTCACCCGCGCAGTCATGTCCGGCAATATCTTCCGGTCAGAAAACTTAGGTTTCACCCACTACTGATATGGGAAATACGTGCAATTCTCAGTACAACGTTCATGTTTTTGAAATGGTATAGTACAAAAGGCAATCGTGTCGCCCAGGGGTGAGGCGGAGGGGTGTTGGTCCAGGGTAGTAGGGGATGGAAAGCTCCAAGTAGTGGGAGTAACGTTGAGTTCGGGGATCGATCCCCAACTCCCGTGACGTCACAAACCGGGACTCTGCCAACCCGGTACACGCCGGCAATGGGTGAGTTTGCAACACTCTTGCGCCATAGTGGTACATAGGGCTTTTGTGCAGTGATTCGCAGTTATTCTCGGGATTTCTATTCTGCTGTAAGTTATGGTGGTGAATAATCCGGTGGTACAGCAGTACTTGTGAATATTCGAAGACTCAAATGGATTTTTTTTTTTCGCTCACTCTCGGAGGCATTATTTTGGGTTCTGCTGGGCTTCGAGGTGTAACGAAGTAGCGGGCGAACTACGCGGAGGGAAAAGTTGGAGGAAAATTATCGGGAAATCGCGGCATTTTTAATGTTACAGGTAATCGTGGAGTGATATTTTAATTGGATGGAAAATAGTTTTGCGGAGGTTTTCTGAAGATTCGGTCGGTGAAAGATACAGATGTGGATGGGAAGATTACTGGTTACTGTGAAGGAAAATTTGCCGCACCGGGAGGGGAGTTTTTTCGGGCTCTGGATGTGAAGGATGTGGAGAGGGATGAAAGTGAAATTTTAACTTACACTGTTGAAAATTTTTGGATGGAATTTCCCGCACAATTTTTGGAAATTTTTCGCATTTTAAGTACACTGAAATTTTCGGCAATTTTGTCGTTAGACATTCGATGAAAAATCAGTGAGAAATGTAAATTTCAGTTCAATTAGTTCCGGAAAATTGGTTAGAGATCAGGAAAATTTCGGTAATGTGTTCGTGAATTTTCAGTTAATTGTCGGCACTCAATATTCATGGTTTCATTGAAAATTCAAGTAGGTTGAGGAATTCTCATCTCAATGCTGTTAATGAAATTGGAATTTCGCTGAATTGTCAGTGAAATCTGAAATTTTGAGTTTTTCCCTCTTACGGATATCCAAGTACTTCGGCTATTTTTTCTCCAGTGAAATGGTTTTCTACTTTTGTAGTCGAACATCAGAGCTTTCATTTGGGCCCCATTT